AGCTAACGCTACTTCTGCTGCCCTGAGCGATCTCTTAAAGGAAGAAGAAACCACAAGACATGCATCACTCCAAAATTGAGCAGCTATTGACTTCCTGCTGCTTGCCCACGGACATGGCTGCGAGGACTTCGAAGGGATGTGCTGCTTCGATCTCTCTTCATGCTTGGAATCCATCCACGCCAACATCCAGAAACTGAAGGGATTTGTGAAGGACTTGAAAATAGAAAGAACCCCAGACTGGGTCAATGACCTCTTCGGTCAATGGGGATTAACAGGATGGGTTGCATCTTTGGTTAAGGGAATCTTGTGGATTTTTCTTGTAATTGTCATTGTGTAAGTGATGTTCTCATGCCTTGATCATTGTTTTAAAGAACCATAGGGAACGCCTTTTTTCTAAATACAGAAAGTGGAGTTGTAGCAGACCCAGGGCCTGCAAGGCCTCAGAAGCCTGAGCTAGGAAATGCCAAAGTCAGCATGACTGGACCCTAGCAGCCCCTCTCTTCCACCTTTCGGACCCTGCTTATCTCCCTGTAAGCTCATAGGTCACTTTCCCCTGACCCTTACTATTGGACAGTTTTCAAAACCCCTGTAAGGTATAAAACCCCCTGATTCTGCCTGGTTCGGCAGAAGAGCTGTCACTGGGAACCTTTGCGGAACACCCGAAGAATAAAGAATCCCGCGGAACCTCACACAGTGCTTCTCCTCTCTCTCCCTGCCTCTGCTGCTGCGGCACCTAGCAAGCTAAAGAGCTGAAAATCACTGAGCTGATAATCACTAAGAGCTGAAAATCACTATAGCTTGCCTGCTGAGCTATCCCGGCTCCAGCACTCCCCGCTGGGCATCTGCCCGGTGGGTAGCCGCCAGGATATACATTCCCTCTGGTGCTCCCTCTCTGTGTGCACAGCCCTGGAGTCAGCAGACACCGAAGGAGACACCTGAGGCTACAGCAGCCTGCTGCGACCTTGCCTGGGTGAGTGAGCTCTGCGCAGCTCCAGGGATGGAGATTATACAGCCTGTCAGGAACATCTGCTCCACTTTTGGGCTGACCTCATGGTGAAGAGGATTTTTTTTCTTGCATCTCATCAAAATGTCCATGCTGCTGCTGTGTCCATTGCCTCTAGAAGAGTTCTGGTGTCGTGCTCTCTCTGACTCCCCAGGAGAAGAAAGCAGCAGCTTCCAGAGTCTTAGAACATCATTCCCTATTCCTCTTTCATCAAGGTCTGATTTATATTCCCACTGCTCAGCACGCGAGGGATTGCAGCCCACAGTGGAGCAAAAGGCTCTCTGGTGGCAAATACAGAGATCAGTCCAGTCTTGCCCCTGATTGTTCACTATTAAATCATCTTTTCAATATTAACTTTTGTGGCAGTGGGGTTTTGAAGTTTATTTGTTTCAGAAATTGTTTAAAATGTTGTAATGGTTTGTTCCTATTCACCCCTGTTCATTTTTCCTAATAGTCTCTCCCTAAAGTTGTTTACCACCTGTTTTCCTGCCTTTCCCCATGTCATTTCTGGTATTTCCAGATCCTCCCCCATTCATTATCCAAACCCTGCCCCTGCAGCTTGTCTGTCATTATTTGCTACACCCATTTATTTAGAAGGTTCGTTGTCAGTTATATTTCCCTTCGCTCATTGGTATGCACTCTTCCCTTCCCTATTGGTTTTATGTTTATGTGTATCCCCCCCATACTCCTCTTATCTAGCGTTTGATTTGTTGTTAGGCTGTGTCCTGCTAGGAGACAGCCCCTCTTTAAAAATCACTGGTTTTCTCTGTTTCATGCCCTTTTGCCTCTGCTTCCCCTTTGAGCTGCTACACTGTGGTACCTGTACCACTTCCTTCTCGGGGAGGAATAAAGACAGTTCGGAGAGGCAAGCAAGGGGCCCTTCCTTCTTTCCTTTGCCTCAGTCTGTTGACGTGGGTCCACACTTACTGGCCGCTTCTGTCGGTATGGGACCTGAGCTTGTGGCCAAACCGCGACCCTCCACCTGCCGCTGGCTGAGGCCACTCGTGACGCGCGCCGAGGAGAAAGGGGGTCAGAGCTCAGTGGCGACCAGAGTCACCCCCTCCTCCCGCGACCAGGCCGTGGCGTCAAACTTTAATGAGTCACTTCCTTGTACCACTGTCCAAGTCTGGGGAGGAGTTTCCACTGGTCCTTTGAGTTGAGAGGTGTGAGACCGACCACTCCTTTTCTGCAGTCCTGGTAACTGTTCCAGTTGTTAAAAGTACCTGAAAGGGACCTTCCCATGCTGCTGTTTAAGGTATGATTTTTCCAAGATTTTATTCAAACCAAATCTCCTGGTTTTACCTGGTGTATGTGAAAGTCTAGAGGTGATGTTTGGGGTAACAAGTCTTTTCTGCTAAGATCTGTGAGAGAAAGTGTAATTGCTTGCAAATAATTTCTGAGATGGAAGTCATTAGTTTCAGCCATTGGCAAGCCCTCCTCCCTTCCCAGACAAGGTAATTTAAGTAACATTTCATAGTGAGAAACTCCTATGACCTTTCTTGGAGCAGTTCTGATCTGTAATAATGCTAATCTGATTTCAATTATTAATTTCGCTATATGGTTCTTAAGGATAGCATTCATTCTCTCCACACATCCAGAGCTTTGAGGGTGCCATGGGGTATAGAATTTCCAATTTATGTCTAATACAATACATAGAATGTAATTTTTTTTCTGTTGTAATCTTAAGGTGTTCCTTATTGTGAGTTTATAGTGGTTTGTTCCATGTACCCTGTTCAGTTTCCCCAATGGTTTTGCCCTGAAGTTGTTTGCTACTATTTTCCTGCCTAATCTTAAATCAGTCCCCATCTCAATCTCCCTTGCACCTCCCTGATTTCCAGACCCTTCCCTGCCAATCCTGGAAGAACTGCCCTCTTCCCTTGTTCATCAAATGTAACCCCACCCCTTTCTCTAGAACCTTCCTTGTCTATCACCCTTCCCTCAAAGTGTGTATGCCAAGCCTGATCCCCTCTCATTATCCCCTATTGGGGATATTCTGTCCCCTAGAATCTGAAGTAACTGCCCTACGTTCCTCCCCTGCTGTTCTACTATTGGTTATCCTCCTCTCATACACTCCCCTGTTTTTAAGTTGCTGTTACCCTGTTGGAGCTTTGTCACTTGTCCCTGGACTATCTTGGAGATTAAACCCTGTTGAGAATTTATACAAGTGGCCCCTCTCATCTCCTTTGTTCTGGCTTCCTTGACTCAGGATTCCTATCAGCAGCCACACAGAGCAGCTTTGCTGCCTCTGGGAGTTGGGCAGCCCTGCTGTACTGCCACCCAGACCGGCCCGAGGGGTGGAGAGGGGGCAGCCACTCCTGGCACGGGCCAGGAGGTGAGAACTAACTGGGGGATCACCAAGCGACGGCCCATGTCATGATTCCATTCTTTCAGTTACCCATATCTGGGAATGAGTTGTTCTAATAGCATCTTAGCCGCTTTGGAGGTAGTTGCAGTTGAGATAGGAAAGGCTTCTACCCAGTCAGTGAGGTGATCAACTGTTCCAAGAAGATTTTTCCATCTCTGGATTTTGGGGAACTCAGTGTAATTTATTTGCATATTTTGAAAGGGTCTAAGGGCTAGGGCTCTTCCCTCACTAGGGTGTTTTCTCATCACTTAATGTTTTAACAAGTCAAACATTGTCTAGTCACTATTTGGCTACTGTATTGACTCCTGTTGGAACCCAGGACATTTCTCTGGCTGCCTTGGATGGCTTGAGCCCCTGGCAGGGGGCTCAGAGACCTTGGCATGAAGCCAAGACACCTGTGCCTTTGATTTTAACCCATGGAGAAAATTGCCAACTTTATGTGAAGAGCTGCAAGCCACGAAAGTTTAAGTAGAATGGTAGTTAGTTTGCCACAGGGTGAAAAGGTGGAATTTTGGGGGTTTTAGAATGGGGGTTCAGGAGGCAAGATGGAGGGATTTGGATATGCCCTCCTTCTTCTTCCTAGCCTCCATCTTTTGCTGTGATGGTGGCATTTTTAGACTGGCTCAGAGTAGAGACAGACTGTCTAACATAGGTGATAGATATTGGAAAATTATTGTAAATAAAATACCCGTAGTTCTTAGTATAAAATATTGACACCATCCCAAGGGCAGTCACTGTGCCCCGAACCAACCTGCTAGACAGACCTCAGTGGGTCAGGAAAAGAATGTATTAGATAAGAGAAAATAAACAACCTTGAAAACCAGAGCCAAGGAATCCTGACTCCTTTGATCGCTGGGCTGGGAAGAAGAGAATTTCTAACATCTCGGGGTCATCTTGACCACAGAGATTCCGAGAGACTCCCTCACAGCAATAAGTTCTTCAGAATTGATCACAGTGTGCTTGAGCTCTCCAGTGTATTCCTTGGTGTAGCTTAATTAAAATATCTCTAGCAATTGCTTTATTCATTATTTGCCTCCCTTTCCTGCTCAGCTGTGACCAAAACTACACCAAAGGGAAAGTGCCTGGAGCCAAGGGAAGGCTGTGGTTGGGTATCTGGTTCTGTTTGTTGTTGCTGCCTGTTGTTGCTGCCAGTGTTGTTGTTTGTTTGCCTTGTTGTACTAGCAAAGAACTTCTCCTATATCTTTGCCTGAAATCCTCTTAATAAAGTTATAATAATTTGGAGAAAAGGTGGTCACATTTGTGGGAATCCATAAAATCAGAAGGTTTTGCGAAAGCTGCAAAAGACAGGCCTCAGAGACAGCAGAACTGTGGTTAGAGCTAAGCAGTAGCCATAAGATTGGTCAGCAGAAAAATTATGTAAGAAGTAGACAAGTAAGGACAAATACAACAATGGTCTGTGTATTAATGCTTGTCTGGAATAAATCCTTAAGCTGCAAAAAAAAAATATCTAGTGAGATACTGGGAAGTTCTAAGCTTAATATTGGTGCTCTGTGCATTGTGTTTTAAGGCTTACAGGCAGGTATTGTATTCAAAATAAGCAAGCATCGTTTTAACCGAAGGTACGTGTGCTTATAGTGGTCGGATGGAGCTACTGTCAATATGCTTTTGCTTTGTGTGATTGGTCAAAAAACTTAAAAAGTAAGTTGTAACATTAAGTTCTTTGTCTGCTGCTGGGGATGTGAGCTGCTGGCATCTTTCGATTGTCATAACCATGTAATGACAGTGATGCTGGAAAATAAAACAGCTCAAGGCAATTCCTAGCAGTCCCATCCCGTTCATGATTTGTACATAGCCCCCGGCCGGCAATAGCATTCCAGAGAGGTTCTGCAGACACCTGTCTTTCAAACCAAGACAAGCTGACAACTAATAATTTGTTGACAATTAATGGACAATTATTATTTATCAATTAATTATCAGTCTCATAAACAGTTAATTAATGTCAGTAATGAAAAGGTAAGCTAGAGATGTTCACTGAAACTTGGAAGGGTAGCTGCAGAGGTCTCTGGTCAAGGGTGGGAGACCGTCACCAGCAGAAGGCATGATGTTGCCGGCTCCTGCAGGAGGCCCCAGCTGACACAAACACTGTTACTCGGATGTTGGTTTCCAGAGCATCTGCTTCTCGGGTCCCTGGCCTTCCTCTGTCTGCTCTAATGGTTTACCAAGATTCTTCTGCTCCTGGGCTCTGCCTTTCACAATCACCTGCCCTGTCTTCTGAGCGGGCTTCAGGTTAGGAATCCTAGGAAGAAAGGGACTGGTATTAGTCAGACGAACATTCCCAGCCAGTTGTTCTGCAACTTGCAGAGCAAGTTGGACAGTGTTTCATCCTCTCTCTGTGCAAGCGGCGAGCAGCAAATTAAACAACTGCGCTCACTGCACAGAGGCTGCAGAGGTGCAAGGGCAGGAACATGACCAGTTAAATGCCTGGGGACCAACTACAGCACACGGGGTTCCATGTAGAGAAGCAGGCTCCTGATTTCACAACCCTCCAGGAGCTTGATGTTTCACACAGTGTCTTTTCCCAGTGTCTCCCTACCAAGGCCAGATGATGATCTTTCTGTGCTCCCGCGGGTGTTTCTGCTGCCTCTCTGGGGCTGCCTGACTCCAGGCCCACCTCCCCATGCCAGTCAGAGGGACTGAAGGGAGGGTGTTAGGGGGTGAACCAGGCTGTGCTTGGTGATGCCCAGCAATAGGACAAGAGGCAATGGGCAGAACCTGAACTGGAAATTCCACCTGAACCTGAGGAAGGACTTATTTCCTGTGCAGGTGCTAGGTTGCCCAGAGAGGGTGTGGAGTGTCCCTCACTGGAATTATTCCACAGCCCTCTGGACAAAACGCTGTGCCATGTGCTCTGGGATGACCCTGCTTGAGCAGGGAAGTGGGACCAGATGACCTACTGTGATCCCTTCCACCCTGTCCCACCCTGTGATCACCCAGTGATACCCATCAGAAGCATGAGTTGGCAAGTGCTCGATGTTTCCCACCTGCACAGCAGGGTGGTCTCAAACTTCCCCGCGCACTTTGGGGAGAACCGCACGTGAAAGGTCTGCTTCTGGCCAGGAGCAAGGATGCCGTGGTAGGGCTTGATGGAGAACAGTGGCAGGTCACGGACGACATCTGGGAAGATTTCCAGGTGGGAACCAACACGCTTTGAGCGGCGTAGCTTCTTGGAATGATCCTGCTGCTTGGGCTGCTGCTGCTGCTTGGCAAGCTGCT